GCGCTTCTGGGGCGCTCTTGGGGCTTTGGTGGGGCTCTGGGGCGCCTCTCTGCGCTTCTGGGGCGTTCCTGGGGCCTTGGTGGGGCTCTGGGGCGACTCCAATCAACTGGGGGGTCCTGGACAGCGGTCCGGTCCGTTCGGGTCGTCTGACAGCGAACCAGGGGTCAGGAGGGGTCTAGCGACGTCTAGGAGCGTTCCGGAGCGGATTCCGAGCGTTCCGAGACGAATCCGAGCGTTCCAAGGCTAGTCCGAGGGCACGGGGGGTCCTCCGAGTGTCCGAAGACGCTCCAAGCGATCCGAATGAAAAAAACGGCGATCCGCAACGATCCAACGACAAAAAACGACTCCTGGGGGGCCTGAGGGGCTCCTGGGGGTCCTGTGAGTTCTGTGAGGGGTAGGCAGAGATGCAGGGAGGTGAGTAACAAGGTTGAGAGGTAAGATAGATAAGGTTTGAGGGGTTGATTTTCAAGGTTGGAGGGGAGAGTTTTCTGAGGTGATTTTCAAGGTTTGATGGTCGGTGTTCTGGGTGTTTCTGTCCTGGTCTCCGTGTGAGTTGATCTTGCAATATGTTATGGGTGTTCTGGGGAGAGCAGGAGGGGATCTTCAGGGTTCTAGTTCTTGATGGTAGATTGCAAGATGAGGAATGTACAAGGTTCGGATCTCGAACGAACTCCAAGTTCGAAGTTCGTGACATGTACGTAACAGGCTCTCTACATATGTAACGTCCCCAGTTCCAGTCCTCCACAGCTCATAACAAAAAGGGCCTTTCCTATTTCACCCAATCCCCCCTAGACCCATGTTGTTGTATGTGATCACCACAAAAAAAATAAGAAAAGAAAGTTTCTCTAGTTGAACTTCACCAGTCCAACATCACCATGGAACTCAGTGATCTTCTGTGGTGGGTGGAACTTGAATATTGATAGCTGAGTTTTTTTTGTTTTTGTTTTTGTTTTTGTGTTTGTGTTTTTGTTTGCATTTGCATTTGTGTTTGTGTTTGTGTTTGTGTTTGTGTTTGTGTTTGTGTTTTTGTTTGCATTTGCATTTGTGTTTTTGTTTGTGTGTGTCTTCCAATCATTCATCATCTGGATTGCCATTAGAATCCATGTCTTGCTGGGATGTGTGTGTGTTTGTTTTGAGAGAAGACAGGGAGTAGTGATGGCAGGATTGTGCAATTAAACGGGGGATGAGGTGTGTGGGGGTGAGTGGGTATCACATGGGATGTCTGTGATATGACAGATTGGATCTATGAGGCAAGTGCCTATATCAACAGTGGGCCGCTACTCTGGGATATTTGAAAAAGGGTGGGATCAATAATGTTATGTTGAGGCTATATAGTGTGGTGGGCTGTTGGAGACAAGTGCAGACTTTGAGTCACTGTTTCTTCAAACAGGGTTGGGGCTGTTTTGTTAAACTCTACCAAATTTGAAAAAAAAGTTTTTTGGGGGTTGGTGAAAATTAACCCCTATGCTGTGTGTTTTTTGTTGGAAATGATTTTTTGAAAAAAAAATATATGAAAAACTGGGAGTCTGCAGGTGCTCTGGTATGTGCCCTCAGATCATGAGAACTCATCATGAGATGACAAGGTGAAGGGCAGCTTGAAGCTAAGCATCTAATGTTCAATGTAGTGTCACTTTTTCCCTACCTACACTTGGAGGGTCCCTTGCCCAGAAGCTGAGGTGGATGGAAGAAGGAATTCTGTATTTCATTTGAGTCTGCACAGAAGTTTTGGGAATTTACACAGTGCTCTGGTCAAACCCAGAAAAAATAAACTCTGGCTGGGAGGGGTTCCTCCCAGCCTCAAGCAGTTATTTTTTTTTTTTCTTGAAAAAAAAAATTAAAAAATCAAACTCTGGGCTATCCCCTAGGACCCAGGCCTGGGTCCTATGGGATGGCCCCGGTCCTAAACCCATATACATATGGGTTTAGGACCCAGTTTGGCGTGCAGGCCTGCACGCCAACTGCAGGCCAATCTACCCTGCAGCAGAGTGGCGTGCAGGGGCGCATGCCAATCTGCGCTTGGCGTGCAGATTGGCGTGCGCCATGGGGGTTGGCGTGCACTTATCAACCCCCTGACAAGTTTGCTGTAGACCTGCCCTGGAGCCAAAAATCAATACTTCTGCATCCCAGCTTCCATTTGGTTCTGGTTTCATCCCCTCAATCTTTTCCACCCCTCCCCTACATATTTCAAAAAGATAACAATTATTCAGCACTGCCATTCTTGCCTTGCGGATCCTGTATTAGCAAGTTGCAGATCTGTGAATATCTTTGCAGATACTACAGGGGCCAACACTGGCTCCTTATGCCACACTGGAGGAAAAGAAATGTTGATACATTTGAATACCATAGTTACAAGCTTTGTGAACAGAACAATTTTGAGTGATAGCAGACAATAGCAGACGTGTATACTTTCTTCGTACCTCTATATTGTAGATCTGGAGGAAAAGAAATGGTTAATACCAGAGTTACACTTAAGCTTTGTGAAAGATTTTTTTTTTTTTTTGGTTTTGTTTTGGTGTTAGTAGGAGCGAAACCATCGGCAGCAAAATTGACTGAATGAGATGTTGTGATAAAAAAATGCAGTTCTTCCCGAATAAGTACCCTTCCGAAGTTTTTCCTCTTGCCCAAGATCAACAATATAGATCCAGGAGACAGTTTGGAAGACCGACAAGTCTGCCTCAACCCGGAATTGAATGGATCCTCAGTGCCAGACCGCCTCCTACTGTAGCTTGGTCCTCGTCGCGGTATGGTGATTGGGGTGATCATCGACGGAGGCCTCTATAACCGGCAACTTGCATGAACTTGTCAGTCCCAATGACAAACAGAGAGTTCCAAGATTCGAGCCATTGACGAGCTTGGGCAATCGCCTCTTGATCAACCCGTGGATCCTCCTTGAGCAATAAGGAGTCCCAATATTTTTCCAGGATTCGCGACGATCTAGCAAGCTTGTCTTTGAGATCAAGGATGACGTCCCGAAGCTCTTCACGATCCCTTGGTTCATGGATGCTCATGTCCAAAAATTCATGCATGGAATCATCGGTATCCTGGGCGATTTGGAAAAAAAGATTCAATCGGTCCTCTTTCATCTCCATCGATGGAGCAGAAAATATTAATGATTGATTGAGCGCAGATCGGGAAAGTTTATTGAAATAAATCCGAAATAATTTGCTGATGGGAGTCGCGGCTTTCATTAACTTATCTCGTCTTGGTTTCCTGGCTTCCGAAATCGAGTCATCACTTTCGGGCGAGTTGGGGCCCCGTTTTCTCGGGTAATTCATTTCCTCAACAATTGCTTTCCATTCCTCTTTTGCCACTCGCAACAAGGGTGCTTGGATCGCTGGAATAAGATCGTTAATTTTCTCAACGGATACAGTGGTCAGTCTGGCGATATCAAGTGCTTGATTGGCCGTTGAAGTTGACAGGTTCAACTGATCGACAAACTTCTCAAAGGCAGCACATAATGGACGGAGTCCGCCGGCAAACAAGTAGGCAAGTTGGCGTGAAATGACGCGGACTCTGAATGGAAAGATTCGTCTTTTGGTCATTTCGTGAGGCCGAATCGGGCCCATCGAGACCTCAAGCTGCTCCAGATGGTTGTAGATTCCTATCAAGTCGTTCAAAATCACATCATACCAGGACTTTGGATCATTATGCGAGCTGGATGAGTTAAAAGCGAGCGATAACGACAGCAGCTTCCCTTTCAACGCCGGCAAGATTATCTGTTCCATTCTTTGCAAAGTTACGCTTTTCAAATCTAGTATCTGAATCATCCTCAGACATCTGGTGATGTCCACTCGGTCGTGTAGATGACCGATTGTCTTTCTGATAATTTCTTGATAGAGGCCCACACCAGAGGTTAGAAAAAGTATGGCTGATGATCACCTAAAGTCAATTCTTGACAACAGACTCACCCAAGTATGCTTCTTCCGTCTTTTCATCCGGATTGATCGATCGAAAAGAGATGACCAACTCCGCAAGTGACTCGTCTTCTTCCATCTGCCTCTCCACATAACCCGGTTGAAAACAGCTGATCATCCTCGCAACTAAGTCGATAGGATCCTCCTGTTGCATCTTGTGAGTTGATAGATCGCTTGAACCTGGTAATAAATCCAACAGTAACGCAGCGGCGGAATGTGATGAGATGAAAGATCTAGGAGCAGAAGTGAGTTTGGTGGAAACATGATATTAGCATGATGTTGGCTACGACATGCTAGAAAAAAACAAAACCGGAGGAAAACCATGAAGATGAACGAATGAGAGAGAAAACAAGAGAAGAAAAAACATGGGTACATACCTGGAACAGGAAGCCAAAGTACAAAGCTTTGCGGAAGGTTCAGGAAAGAGGTCAGTCTCACCAAGAGCTCACGTCTGGCCCCGATATATATACTGTGCGGTCTGTGACATGTCTGTGAAATGAGTGACGACAGGTGTGAAGCACACAGCAGAGACCGAAGAGACAGCAAACCGTAACAGAGTCAGAAGGTTGGATACCGGGGCCGGTCGTGACTCGTGACGGTCGACTGGCTCACCTACATATGTTGTTGGTGAGCCGGTCGACCGTCACGACCGGCCCCGGCCAATGAGTTGAGGGCACTACCGGAGGCTTGGCGCCCGGAGATTTCCTGTGGACTTGCCAGCTTGGACATGGCAGCGAGGTAATTGAGCCGGTACATTACGAGCCACCTCATCTAAAATCGGAAGGCGAGCTAATTAGGAAAAGCTCACAAGCCGTGCCGACCTTCACAGTTATAAACAGCGCGGGAGCTGAGCCGACCAACGTGTACGAACGAGTTGGGTGGCACGGTTCTGTTTTTCATAGATTGGAAAGCAGACCGGCTCCGGGCGAGACTGCATCTGCTAGCCGGCCTTGATCACAGCCAGCAAACAGCCCCGGAGACGCTATTCTGTAGCCAACCAACTATGGTGAACGAGCTGGACTGACTCGGCTGATTTCCATGGATTTGAACGAAGACCGGCGACCGGCACGGCATTTGCCTGTAGTGCACGGCTGCTTGATTCTGATTCAGACCGACAGCCTGGCTGGACCGCGGCCCGGCCTCTGGTGTGATGCGCGTCGGTCCAATTCAAAATCACTCGGCTGGTGGACCGCCGGGCTCTCCCAGGATTTTCACATCATAAAGGATGCTCCTTTTCGATTTCTACTGCCTCGAAGAAGTGGAACAATCAACAGAAAAATTGCCTAGTAAAACTTGAGATAACCAAGCATTTTTTCTCCATCAAGTTTCCGTCCAAAGTCCTTTTTCCTGCGCAAGATCGGCGATATACATTCAGGTGTTTGTTCGGAAGGGTTCATACCGACGAGTTTTCCTTATCCTGAGATTTTCACCGGAGAAGTCTGTGAGTTATCCTTTTTCGTCCTTGTCATTGGATTGTTCCGTAGTGCCGGACCTATCATTGTTGTCGTCATAGGTTAATCCTCGCCACCAGTATTATGACCAGGTGATCACCAATGGAGTTCTCTACAACCAGTAACTCGCATGAACTTCTCAGTCGCAATCAGAAACATGCATCTCCACGATTTGAGCCATCGGCGAGCTTCGGCAATTGCTTCTTGATTAACCGGTGGATCCTCCTTCAGCAACAATGTGTCCCAATATTTTTCCAGAATTTGCGACAATTCGGCAACGCTATCTTCAAGATTATAGGTGGCTTCCTGAAGGGATTGACGGTCCGTTGAGCGAGTTATGCTCATCTCTAAAAATTCTTTTATGGAATAAGTAGTTGTCTGGGTAAAATGGAAAAAATGATTCAATCGATCCTCTTTCATCTCCATCGATGGAGAAGCAAATATTAATGGCGGATTGGCGGTGGATCGGGACAGCTGATGAAAATATATCCGACATAACTTGCTGACGAGAGTTACGGCTTTGAAAGACTTATCCCGTTCTGCCTTTCCTGAATCCGAAAACCAATCATCACTGTGGCCGTGGGGCGAGTTGAGAATCCGTCGTTTCACAGGTTCTTTGAACTGGAAATCGATCCCCTCAACAAACGCTTTCCATTCTTTTTTTGCCACGCACAACAAAGGTTTTCGGAGCGTTGGAATTAGATCGTCAATTTTCTCCACGGATGCAGTGGTCAGTCTGTCGACATGACGTCCGTTATCCGTCCTTATAAAATGAAGGTTTGAATAATCGAACCAACCGAAGAACGCCTGGTACGCGGCAAATAAAGGACAAAGTCCTCGAGAATACAGATCTACAAATTGACGTGAAATTACGCCGACTCTGAAGGGAAAAATTTCTTCTTCGAGCATCGTGTCGCGCCGAGTCGAGCCTATCGACCCCTCAAGCTGCTCCAAAAGGTTGTCGATTTCTATCAATTTGTTCAGAATCGGATCGAACAAGGTCATTGCATCGTCTTGCCAGTCGGGCGAATTCAACGCGAGTGATAACGACTTCAGCTTTCCTTTAAACGTCGGCAGGATTATCTGTTCCACTCTACATGCATTTTCGCTTTCTGACTGTAGCACATCAAGCACTCTCATGGATCTGGTGGGGCCCACTCGTTCATGTAGATGACCGATTGTATCTGCGAGAATTTCTTGATTATAAATGCAACTGGAGGTTAGAAATAGTATGGCTAACTATTACCTAGAGCCAAATCCTCAGAAGACACTCACCGAGGTATTCTCTTTCCTTCTTCCCATCCGCGTTGTTCGATCGGAAAGATCTGACCATCCTCGCGACTGAGTCGATTGGACCTTCTTTTTGCATTGTTTGAGTTGATTGACAGTTCGAATCTGCAAATGAAAGTGGCAGACACCGCCTGGCAGGAAACAAATTGAGCTGGAACGCAACGGCGGAATGTCGAATGTAGGGCCGGTCGACTCCTCACGATCGCCCGGGCCGGCTCAGTGTTGACCGGGCGGGGAGTGTGAGCCCTCCCGGGGCAGGGGTACAGCCCCGAAAGGCCCAGAGAACTTGATGCGCACGCTGCCACGCGGCCGGCCCCAGCACACTAACTTAAACCCAAGCCCCTCGATCGGAGGGCTTGGTACGGCCAGGCAGGCGCGAAGCGAGCCTCTTTCAGAGCACGCCGGGGTTCCCCGTCCCTCTGGAACAAGGGGATTGTGTTAAGCTAGCCCACCACAGCCGATCCTTGCAAGTATAAACTTTTGTGGAACTGACATGAGTTGTCTTCTTGTTCAGTGTCGCCTTCGGCAGTGAGTTCGGAGGACCATGGGGGACTTGGCTCCAGTAGGCTTCCTGTGGTCTGAGGCACGGCGGCTTGGAAGTTTGGCCGAGACATCGGCCACCTGATCTTAATATAATTAGCTTGAGAAGCCGACCACAGGTGCAAGTTCACAAGGCGGCGTTGACTGAACCTTCATTGATTTGGATGTAGACTGGCCGCAGTGGGCCAGACGGCCTTCACCGCTACATCAATACATCGATGAACGAGTTGGGTCAGCCGGGTCTGTTTCATGGATTTGAAAGCTGACCGCCTTCCGGGTGCGGTATTTGTCCAGCGGGCCTTCACAACTCACAAACAGGACGGGAGCTGCCACATATTCTAGCCGAAAGAGTCCGCTAGCTAATTACGGGACTGACGCGGTTCTTTACCATTCATTAGGAAGCAGACCGGCACCGGACGGGGCATTTTCCCAGCCGGCCTGACAAAATCGCAAGCAGCACAAGAAAGGCTATTTTGAAGCCGACCAACGTCGGTACCCTGCACGCGCTTCATACTGGGTCCGGGCGCGGCATTTGCCCAGCCGACATTCACATTTGGCAAACATCACGGGAGCTATTATTTTTAAGCCAACCAACGATGGTGGAAGAGCTGGCCCGTTTCATTGATTACGAAGCAGACCGACATCCGGCACGGCATTGGCCCAGCCGTCCTTCACATTCTGCCTGCAGTGCACGGGCTGCCTCATTCTGAATCAGACCGACAGATTGGCTGGACCGCGCTCCGGCCGTCGGTCCAATTCGAAATTCATCGGCTGATGCACCCCCGGACCTTTTCAGATTTTTCCGCATCATAAAAGGATGCCCCTTTTTGCATCTCCGCTGTTTCCTTCATCCCGCTCTTCCCCATTGACCGAACAACCCAAACATTATCTACCAATCTTCCCAAACACTCCCCAAAAAAACCCATCACCCAAAACCCAAAACGACTGCGCTTACTAACCTTTTGCCCCAATTCCCCATACCTAACCGTTCTTAATTACTTCTCCCCTCAACCCCTTTTGTTCAATTTTGTTTATCTTGTCTTGTTTTAGGATGTCTTCAGGAATAATGTACCCACTCAACGATTTCTCCGTCTATCTGATGCCCAAGGGAGCTGCTCCCATGTGCCCTCCTTGTCAATCCGACATGCTTCCTTCAGTCTTTGAAGAGGATGATGATCTTGAGTGTGAGAGCCAGATGACCATGCTTCATCGAGTAAACAAAGTATTCAAGAGAATGATCCCTAGTCAGATCAAAATTTCCAAACATTTTTCCTCTTCTTTCCAATTTTTCTCTCCATTCTCGACTTCGTTCTTTGACCTTTTTCCCGCTCCAGCTCAAAATCCACTTCCGTCAGTGCCCGTTCCAGTATCTCAAATTAAATTTCTCTTGTTCATTAATCTGTGCCTAAAAATAAAAGTGTATGAATCTGTTGTCTCTCTACCGTCATCTTGGGCTATCTGTTTTTTTCGTACTTCCTTTATATCTTGTCTCTAGTCTCCTTGGTTTTCTCTTGTTCTTTTCTTGTTTCTTTGACAATTTTCTCGAGTGCCCCACGCTCCGGAAGTTGCTAGGAGCGGGAAAGATCGGTTCCCGTTCAGCTCTCACTGAGCCTACTCGTCATTGGTTCCAGAAGAACAGAAGCTGCACCGCTCCTTGTGCAGTCCTTTTCCCTAGTGAGGAGGTGTCGCAGATATCTGCTGGTCACGTCTCTGGCGGGCGGTATTACTGCGCCTGCTTGACCAGTCCTGCTTCCCGGCAATGGGGTTTAGTATCTGCGTATGGTGTAGGTTTTATCTCCAGCGAATGCTCGTCGAGAGAACAGCCATTGCTAATGGATAGGTGCACTATGTGCTCGTCCGTCGGTGGATTTTGCTCGGCGGCAAATGGTCCTGCACCTGCTGCACTTGAGAAGAAGTTCCTAACCATCAAGTTCATCATCTTTCAGTGATGTTGCAATATCTGCTCGCGCAGGGGTTTTGCTTTCTTGCAAGCCGGAGACGGCACCAAACCAGTATCGCCCAGTAATCCGGTGAATGAGCTGGGCCAGCGCGGTTCGCGTGTGATGATCTGGAGGCCCGGCTCGTTCACCATCGTTGGTTGGCTACACATTAGCAGCTGCCGTTCTGTTTGCAAGTTGTGAAGGCCGCCGTACCCGTAGCCTTTACAACTTGCAAACAGAACAGGAGCTGCAAATGTGTAGCTAACCAACGATGGTAAACGCGCCGGGCCGACTCGGCTCATTTTCATGGATTCGGAAGCAGACCGGCACTCGGCAGGACATTTTTCCAGCCGTCCTTCACATTTCGCCTGCAGCTCGGACTGTTTCATTCCGAATCAGACCGGCAGCCCGCCGGGACACCGCCCCGGGCTTCCAGAGGTTTGAACAACTTTGAGAGGACACGCTCAACAGACCATTCGGAAGCCGGAATAAGACCTTCCAGCATCCTCGGATGGAAAAAGTCCTGTGACTCTGAGTCTGGCCCGTACATTCTCCAGTTCCTCCTCGCTCCACTTGTCCTTGGCTAAGAATCTGGATGTATAGTCAATGGACCGGCTCTTCTTTTGGGTCCAGAGAACAACTCGACATCGCCGCCCCCATGCCGATAGTGTATGGAGATTCCAGAGTCTATTAATACGGCCCGCGCTCGGCCACCGGACGGGCTTGAGCGTCAAACAGCCGACATACGTACATACATCGGGCGGTCTACCAACCCTTTGGTTGGTCCGCACCGATTATTGTCGGCGATATGTTCACTCAATTCCAATCTTACTTAGCTAAAGTCTCTCCATGATGGATTTGAACGCGTAGACATTTGTGTACTTATTTTGCAAACAGTGTCTAGCAGTGCCGCCCGCTGGCCTCGATCAATTCTTGACACAGATTTGTACTCCAACGGGAAGACACCCCAACCTATCCTATACCATTGCATCGCAATGGCGAAATTAAGCGACTTGCCTGCCGAACTAGTCTATAAAATCATAGATTACATTCTCCCTCGCCATGTTTCGGGTCCTGAGGAATCGGAGGACCGACCTATCGATCGCGATGATCATCATCTGCTCGACCACAACGGAATCGGGCCAATCGGACCAAGACCAAGACCTCATCTAGAGCGACTTAGTCGTGATCCTACTCCACAAGCTCTTCGTCGTGACTTTCGAGCTGTTGCAGCTTCACGACCACACGCTTCTTGGCCAGGGGGTGAGCAGCAAATCAAAATTTCAGCTTATTATATCTATTGAAGGGCCGTTTTATTTCTACTCCGTCTGTGCAGGTGTTCCATCCAATCCTCTTTTGCCACTCTCGCTAGTCAACCGTACCTTCCGAACATGTGCTCAGCAGATACTCTTCAGAAACGTACCCGTATTAACCAGATCGAGGGCGATATCATTCCTCCAGACAATAACCGGCCAATCAATCCCAGGTCTATCGACTCTCGAGGGTCGCTGGCACAATCGGAAAGGCGCGAAGAACGCTCAAGATTATAACCTCAGGATGCTTCAATTTTTTCAGATTGATTATTCTTTTCAGACTAGACTAGCTTGCGATGTTCGCTCCTTGCAACTTATTTGTAAAGGCATATGTTCAGTGCCCAAGGGCAGTGGCAAATTATTTTGTGGCATTATCCATAGCTGTCCCTTCCTCGAGAATATTGCCATCAGTACTGCGGTCTCGATGGACTGTAAGGAGCTCATGTTAGAGGCCCTATCAAGCCGACAACTCATCAAAGAGTTTGTTATTCTTGATAATTTTGATGAAGACAGTGAGTCGATGTTCCAATGGAACGTCGACGACGTCGTCTGTCGATTATTCTCTCAATGGGACCACCTCGAGACTGTAGAGTTGAGTGGGCTCAGGGGTCCGTCGGGTCCGATGATTGGGACGATTGAGAAGCGGATACCCATCCTGAATTGCGCGGTCCGAACGATGATCCTTCATAACCCTGAGTTGGACGAGCAAGAGCTTTCGATACTTCTCCAGATCTTTGGAGGGAGCTTGCGGACGCTCGAGTTGAACAGTCCAGGCCACAAGATAAACCGAGCGGGCTTGTGTCGGATCCTGAATGAATGCACCAATCCGAAGCTGGAATGTTTGACGCTCGACTGGTCTCACTACGAACCGCCGGTCTCTCCTGTCCCGGGTGCTACCAATTCTGACGACCCAATGACCATCAGATGCCTGCTCGATATCCTTTTCAAGTCTCCCTCCGCCCTTCGAAATCTCAAGTCTCTGTCCTTCACCGGTACCGTCGCTACTCACACGTTATTCGAACGCTTGCCTGATTCAATCGTCAAACTTGCTTGGGAAAACTGCGATATTTCTCCGACCGCGCTCGTTAACATACTCTCAAGTACAAGAGATCACAACAAATTCTTACCGAATCTTAAGTGCTGTTCAGTCCGAAGTGGTTACGAATGTCAGTCTTTTTCCCTCCTTCCCTTCATCTCATAACAAGATGGCTATTCCAGATATGGAGTTTGTGAGAAATAATTAGGCGATACTTGCTGACATCTTGGAATATTCTCTTTCAAATCTATGTGTTGAATTCTTGCAGGGGACGTAGACGAGGAAAGAGCGGTGGAAAGAGCGTTAGAAGCACGAGGGGCATGTTTCCACTTGGACGTTAGTCCGTATTATCTGGGATGAGAGGATGGAGGCAGACAAAAAGATGGATCCCTAGGTTTTAGTCAACTAGCTATACAAAGAAATCTGTGGTATTTTGAATCTTGCAAACAGTCATGATGGTGTAGTAAAATAAATTCCTGCAAAGTCCCCCAACAATTCGAGGGGGGTTAAGAAATACATGTGAAATCGCCAACAATTGCTAAATCAACCTCCTGAAGAAGCTGTTAATAGTCAATTATTTCAAAAGTTTATTCATTGAAGAGCATGCCAAGTGTCCAAAACTTGTGAGATCTTTGTTTCTGACTTCAGAGCCAACACCATTGTCCTTACCACCGAAAATAAATTTTGCTATAGTCTTGACTTTTCAAAACAGCCTCCGGCCCAATGTTGGGACTTGACAGGATCCTGATGAAGCTGGATATATCTACCTTCTATGTTTAGCATAGCTAATAAGATGGGTTTTTCAGATTGGACGGGATTGAGTCAAACAGGTTGGTGATCTCAATCCAAAATTTGATCAATTGTGTCTCTGGAACTTGAAGGAAAGGAGTATTTAAATGCTAACTTAACCAAGTCCCCCCTGTGTGGAGGGGGGACGCCGTCCCGCAGGGACCCTCCGAAGAGCTTGGAGGCTGCAGAAGCTGAACGGGAACGGACATTTGCCACCAAGTACAAGCAACTGTTAATACCTGGGAACCCTTCGGACAATCCAGCCGCCGCGTCTTGAAAGTTTGAGAGGCCGAGCTGAGGTGAGAGCTTACCTGAGTCGGTGAGCTGATTGGACCCACATGGTTCAGCATCATTGAATTGGAAGCAGACCGGCACCGAACCCGGCTTTTATCCAGCCTATCCAGCCTAAAAATCGCAAGTGAATCGAAAAAGGCTATTCTGAAGCCGACCAACATTGGTGAGTGAGCTAGACCAACACGGCTAACTTGCCATGATCTGAAAGCAGACCGGCTCCAGGCGCGGCACTTGTGTACGCGGTCTTCACAGCTAACAGAGCCTCCTATTTTGAAGCTAACCAGCTATGGTGAAGGAGCTGGACGGACCCGGCTCGTTTCCGTGGATTTCAAAGCAGACCGAGATCCGGCCCGGCATTTTTCCAGCCGGTCTTCACAGTTTGGCTGCAGTGCACGGGCAGCGTTATTCCGACTCAGACCAACCACCCGCCTGGACACCACTCCGGCCGGTGTGGTGTTGCGCGTCGGTCCAAATCAGAATCCATCGGCTGATGGACGCCCGGACCTTTCCATGTTTTTATTGCATTATAAAAGGATGCCCCTTTTCGCATCTCTGCTCTTTCCTTCATCCCACCCCCCATTGACCGAACAAACCAACCACTAACCCCCAATCTTCCCAAACACTCACCAAAAAACCTATCCCCCCCAAAAACCAAAACTGCTGCACTTACTAACCATTTCCCCCAATCCCGCATCCCTAACTGTTCTTGCTTCTTCCCCCAAACCCATTTGTTCTACCTTTTTTTGTATCTTGTCTTGTCTTATGAAAGGATGTCTTCAGGAACAATTTACCCACTCAATGATTTCTCGGTCTACTTGATGCCCAAGGGAGCAGCTCCCATGTGCCCTCCTTGTCAATCCGACATGCTTCCTTCAGTCTTTGAAGAGGACGATGATCTTGAGTGTTGTGAGAGCCAGATGACAATACTCCATCGAGTAAACAAAGTATTCAAGAGAATCATCCCCACTCAGATGAAAATCTCCAAACATTCTTCCTCCTCGTCTAAGCTTTCCCTCCATTCTCGACTTCGTTCTATGACCTTCTCAAAATCTACTTCAATCAGTGTCCGTTCAAGTATCTCAGGTTAAAATCTCTTTTTTTTTCTTTATAAATCTGTGTCTAAAAATAAAAGTACATGAATCTGTTGTTTCTCTGTTTCGTTTTGGGGCTTATTGTCTGTCTATCTTCTTTCCTTTTCACAATTTCTCTATCTTTTCTCTAGTCGTTTTATCTGTGTAGTATTTTTTTTTTCTTTCTTTTTGAAGCGGCTGTCCGAAGTGTTCCTAGGGTTGCTTGTAGTGGGAAAGATCCGTTCCCGTTCAGCTTCTGCAGCCTGCACTGAACCTGCTTGTCCTTATAAGTACCAGGATAAGAGGCGCTACACAGCTCCTTGTGTAGTCCTGATTCTCTACAAGTATGTCTAGTAGCCGCTCGTCTCATGGGGCAGATTTCCTCTCTGGCAAACAGCTACTCGTCTGCCGATTGAGAGGAATTCTTCCCCATCAAGGCGGTCGCACTAGACCAGCTTGCCCAGTACCGTTTCCCGGCAATAAGGGGCAGTGGGCGATGCTTGCCGAGAGCTTCTGCTCGCCGGCAAGTAGGTCTTGTGCCTGCTCTTGAAGAGATTACTCCTTACTCGGCGAGATGTCTTTCTTTCCGTGGGGCCGACACTCAGTCAGCATCGCCAAGTATCTCCCTCCGGCGAACAGGTGCAGTATCTGCTCCTTGTAGGGGTTTGCTCTGCGGCAGATAGCTATTGTATCTGCTGACTGGGGGAGGTTCATGTCCGATGAGCCTGAGTAGGTGGAGCAGCTACCGTGTTTGTTCATCAGAGAGGTTCTCTCTCTCAAGTCTGATACATGCATGTCAAGGGGGACTATCTTCCCCTGCGGGCGTTCACTTCACGTGGATCACAGCTAGGCAACACCAGTTGCTAATTGTTTGGATTTAGGATCTCAGACCGATTTCTTTCTTCGGGCCTCCAGATCCAGAGGGGAAAAAGAAATTACACATTCAAATACTACAGCTGGAAGTTTTGTGTGAAGAAGAATGGTTGGTGAGAGCAGAGATGAAAACTTGGGGGCAATACGGTCTGGATAAAATAACAAATCTGATCATCTGAGGCAGATATTTTTTCGGACTTCTAATTCATTCCCCTGCGCCAGATCGACGATTGGAGCAAGCGACCGACGTGTGACAGATGATCCGCACGCGACGAAAGCTACCCGAGTCCCGGTTAGAAGAACCCATCATCCGGTTCTTGTCCGGCAGCGATCGCGGCTTCGGCTCTAGCTTCCTCATTCATTTCCGTGAAGTCCATCTGACAGCGCATACAATACTCCAACTGGTGGGGTTGGCAGACGGTGATCTGGGCCCCGTTTTTGTCCGTGTAGGTTTGTACTTCGGACATTTTTAGGCGTTTCTTGTTTTACAGGCTTCTGGGAGTAGTCGTCGAATCAGTTCCTGCTCACACAAAGCGGTGTTCCAAGATCTCTTCAAGCAGAACGTACGTTTAAAATTTCGACGTTTAAATTCCAGATTCTGCGAGGAGGGTCCGGTCTGAAGAAGGTTGGTGAAGTTTGAACTGGAGTTGGTGTTGGAGGTGAGCTGCTCTCAAAAGCTTCTAGGGGCTTCCGACAGTGTTCCAATTTGTTCCAAGAGACCCGCCGCAGCTCCGACCCGGGATGGGGGCTCTGAGGATAGAGCCTCTCCACCGGGGCAATTGAAGCAGGTTGTTCTCCAGATGTGCTCGCAGTCATCCAAGATGATATTTGATGATTTGAATTGTGAATGTTTGGATGGTCAAGAGTCTCAACAAAGAAAAATAAAAACCTTTAATAGGAAACAAGCTAATTTCAGATTCTCAGAAAAAACCATCCGCATGTCAGAAAGAAAAGGGTAGAAAAGCCACACAGTTTCAATGCAGGAGATGATGGAAGGCAAACTCTTCTTCAAGATCAAGCTTTTGTCTAATCTATTGAAATGATTCATTTCTGAAGTGAAGTGAATAAGAAAAAAAAGGTGAAAACACACAACCATGCACAGGCACAACCGCTGTCAAGACTCAATCCAAAAAAAAAATAAAATGATACAATGAAAGTTTCTCTTCTTCTAATAGAGAAGAAAAGTGAAAGAGTAAGACTTGCAGTTGAGGAAACCAACAAAGAAGATCAACAAACACCAAAGAAATTTCTATCTTTCTTGGCTATGAATGTGTGTTTTTTTCTCAACAAAAAAAATAGCGAGTTTAAAGAAAAAAAAGGAAAGAGGATATATAGATATAAGAACACGAAAGAAAGAGTTTATCCGAATCTGAAGCTAAAAGTCTGGCCACTACCGCCGCCAGGAAATTGGCCACCAAAAGGATTTCCACCAGACGAATGAGCCTGTTGGAAGAATTGCTGGAAGATCGGATTGCCTCCTCCTCCGAATGGATGGCCATGTTGGCCCGACATCGGATCATTAGGGTCATCGCCTATCACAAAAACAAATCCAGCATTAGTTTAAGACACTCTCTTTCTTGTCACTCTTCAAGTTTAGAAATCACTCACCATTGTCGTATCGGGCTCGTAATTCCGGGTTCGAAAGCACCTCCTGTAATTTAATTTAATTTGATTAACAAACAGCCCATCTTAAACCCGAAAAGTATTTTAATGACTTACATAAGCTTCGTTGAGCGCCGTCATTTTAGCTTGAGAACCACCCTTGTCCTGTTCCGCAAAAGACGAAGTCTGAATGAGTATTTTGAAGCAGAGAAAAAGAGGATGCAAGAGAAAGACGAACAGGGTGAGCCTTGAGGGTAGCTTTACGATAAGCCTTCTTGAGAGTACGTTCATCAGCGTTCTTGGGTACGCCTAAGACTTTGTAGTAATCCTTCTGTTTAGAGACCTTCAAGCCCTTCTGAGCTTTTCTCAAACGGCTCGAGATTTCATCCTCATCTTCGTTCTTACTGTAGGCCTCCTTGAGCAGATTGACGGCCGGTTCCCACTCCTCAGCGGCCATCAGTTGTTCCGCTTTGCTGATAATTCCCCACACGTCTTGGTCGTCTCGGGCATGCAAGCTTTCACAAATCGATTGCGAGTTCTTGAGTTCATTGAGCCCGACATATGCCTTACATCCAAAGGAGTACAAGGACGTCAATAGTTTCGAGTGGCCTTCGACGTCTTCAACCTCCGCAGAAATTAACGGTTCATCGATCCCGGCCTTTGGATCAGGCAATTGGGACTCTTTGATGATCGCCTTGGTCCTCTCGATCAATCCTTCGGCCTCATTTCCCTTGGGAATCAAGAGCTTGATAGTCGACCGATGTCCGTTCGAGTTGCTGAAGTTTCGCACCTTGGCTAGATCTTTCTCCAGTGCCTTGAGTTGTCGGAATGCCTTCTTACAGGGCTTGGATTCCGGATCGGAATGCAAACACTTCTTAATCGGCTTCATCGACTGTTCTAGTGGCTGAGCTAGGAAAAAGTAGGAGAAGAAGGATAGTCGAAGGGCGGCCACTGCACTGTTCGGTGATAGATGGGTAACATGACTAGAAGAGCATAGACCAAGATAAAATGTATCAGCAATTTTGAAACTGATGTGTTTATATATTTAAGCGGACAAGAAGATAAACTGATAGTCCTGCTTACGTGAGATCACCGGTAGCCTCTTGGATGTGACCTTGCATGAAATGGCAGTCGGATCTCAACTGACGTAGAGCAGGACTCTGAGGGCTAATTTTGATAGCCGCAGAAGCCTCGTCGACACATTTGGAGTAGTTTTTAGATTTGATGTTGGAGCGGGCGTTTTTGAGATGTTTTTGGGCGGATTTGAGATCAGCCTCGAGTGAGGAGAGGTCGACAGAGGACTTGTCGTGGTTCTTGCGGAAGGATTCTAATTCGGTTTGACAGGCTTCGTAGTCACCCGATTTCAGATGGATCCTGGCCAGTTGAATCTGGGCTTTATCGAAGTCTTTGAGACTCAAGACTTTCTGTAATGATTGAGATGCATGATGGTTCTGGCCGAGACTCATTTGAGTGGTAGCCTTTTTGTAGAGGGTTAGATAGTCGTCCGGGTCTCGCTCGAGGACGAGTTCGTATAGTTCGAGAGCTTTTGAGGCTTGGCCAGTGGCTAGGAGTGAGTTGGCCTTAGTGATCAATTGGGAGGTAGGTAGTTCGGAAGAGGCTGAGGAATCAGAGTAGGCCATCCGAGCCAGAAGAGAGATGACGGCTAGTAGGAGTAAGGACTTGGTCCGGAATGGAGGGTGGGCTGAATAAACAGTCATCCTGGTAAGCTTGAGTATCGAATGTGAAGGTGTGTGCCAGATGTTTTTGATTTTTGAGGAAAACGTTGAGCTTGAAAGGGGAGACAAGAAGTTAGAAAGAAGAGATGATGGTCAAGAAGGAGACGGCAGGGAAAAACGGTCAAGAGGAAAGCAGTGGCAGTGAGTGCTTTATGCTCTTCGCAACCCGCAACAGCCACCTGACAGCCACAGTGACACCGCCCCGACCTCAATACACCTCAACTCCACGTCACCGAAGGGAATACCACCCTCCACATGTATTATTCTGCCTCCAGTCTCCATGCAAGCTCCGAAGAAAAGCTGGAAATAGTCTCCACATCACTTGTTTCATCCAGGAGGACCTCAACATAACCGTCTCGACGACCACTTTGATCACCGAAGACCCCTTCCAAGGAAAATTACATTTCACCTCAAGGAAAATAACTAGGCATTCTCAAAGAGACATTAGCCTGCAGGTTTTCTTAAGAGGAACAGGCCACTTGTCAAAGTAGTGAGACTGAAAATTGGCAAGACTGACCGCACCAAAACAGTCCAGCCAACCTTAATCAACCTGCTGCACAGGTCATCCAAAAGAAATAAACAGAGGAAATTGATAGTTTCATTTTTTGTACCAGCTAACACTGCTCATACAAAGTTCCATATTGCTTCATGTAAGTCTTGTGCTTCCTTGGCATGCAGTATGTTTCTATGATCAATATGTCTCATCAAATCAAGGTTCAAGGACCTAGTAAATTGGCTGTGCACCACAATATACTCCTTCCAGTACACTGTACAGGCATGGATGATTCTAGAGACTTTTTTGTGAGGGAAAAGGTGGGAAACCTTATCAGAAGCATTGATGACTGAAAGCTGTTTAAGCTCTTTGCCTGTGTCAAGTTAAGAGTTAAAACTGGGTTCTGTTGGAATTCTGATGTTGTTGTGTCACTCTCTTTCTTTTCTCTTTCATATCAATGTCACTCCTTCTCAACTGTCACTCCTTTTTCCTTCCTTCCAGCTGAATATTAATCCCATCTTCTGTCCCACAACTCAGCCCTCACAATTGTAATATTTAAGTAGTCATGCTTCAGAGTTAGAAAGTGTAAATCATCAGTTTCTCTGTGCCTGTACCCTGAGGTCACTCATACAGCCTCTTGTAGCAAGTACACTTTCCTGTCTCACAAGCTAGCAGTACTCTTAAACCTCTTTGAGGGCTCTTTTAACTTGTTTTTTGTTTCCTCCAGACTTTGATTCTTGAGTTTTTTTCTTCATTAGGTTCATCTGGTCAAATAATCAACACCACCTTGCACTAATATTCCCAAACTGAAGGTGGGAAAGATAAGAGGCTGTAAAGGGTTATATCTAGGAGGGATATCTGGTGGCATAGGTATGAGGTTGGATTTAAAATGATTTCTATAATTGACACTTGGATGCTTCATGAAGAAATCTTTTGTTCACACAATTTATTGAAGGGAGACTCCAATAATATACATTTTCTGATTTGATCATGTTCAACTGATTTGTTTGTATTGAAACAATTTCATCGGTGCAATTTGCACCCTTTTGGTAAAATCATACTCTGAAAAACAACCTTAGCTCATGTGAGAAGGAATGTGATTTTGGGGTCTCTATTTGTGTCTGCTCAATATAGCTGCACTGTAGTTATGTTAATTCCGAGGCAATTGGAAAATAAAAAATAGAAGAATTAGCAAACCATGTCATTTTGGTTACCTTTTGTTGAATAAATATTCCAAAGACATCAAATTTTCATGAGGTTATTTTCCTCAAGAGGTTCTTATATTCTTGTGTTTACAGGTTATGAATTACATAAATATTATTGAATGTAAATATAAACCTGATTGAATATTGATTATATTTGAAGGAACTGATAAGTTTGATGTATGTCCCAGGAATAATCCATGATAAACAGTAAACAGGTGGCATTGATAAACATTTCCTTCAGCTCTAAGTTTTCTCTGGTTTCATGAAAAATTGGCCCCTTGGTGTATTTCAGTTGGCTGTATTTCCTTGGGTGGGTTATGTAATGTGTTATGGATGAAAAAATGGGCCTTAATAAAAAAACGCGGTTTTTCCGCGTTTTGACGCGGTTTTGATGCGCCGCAGCACACGTGGTTTCCGCTTTTAGACGCGGTTTTTTAATTAATTTTTTAAGGCTTATTTTTCGAGTTTTTTCAAAATTTTAAAATTTATTCCTACACTATGAAAGGTGTAGAATTTAATGGTAAAGTCCATTTTCCATAAAAATGAATTTTGATTATTAATTATTTTTTTTCCACTTATTTTTCAATTAATTGTTTGCATGCATGTATGTACCTTATTTTTTATGCTTTTGTGAAATTTTAAAATTATTTACTAGGTTTCAATGTGTGTAGAATTTAATGGTGCAATCGAATTTTTTTAAAACTCAACGGTTCATTTTTAATACTGAAATTAGACCCATTTTTTCACTTAATTTTTTACAGCTTAATTCTCATCATTTTTTGACATTTTAAATTTATTTCCCACACTTTAAGACATGTAGAAAATGATGGTAACAACCATTTTTCCCCAAAATGAAAACTATACCTTGAATGCCGCATTTGACACGTTTTTTTTAATTAATTCATCACTTTTTCACTTAATTGTTTGCATACATGTGTGTACCTTATTTTCTATGCTTTTTTGAAATTTTAAAGTTGTTTCCTACATTTAAAAGTGTGTAAAATTTAATGGTAACATTCAATTGCCATAAAACTCAACGGTTCATTCTGGATACTGTAATTAGTCATATTTTTCAATTGATTTTTAAGAGCTTAATTTTCATTATTTTTTGACATTTTAAATTTGTTTCCCACACTTTAATACATGATAAAAATGATGGTAACAATCATTTTACATAAAAATCAGCTCTTGTTACTGAATACTGCAGTGGACAGGCTTTTTTTAATGTTTTTTTGATTGATTTTTACCGGCCTGATTTTAAGCATTTTTTTTTATTTTAAATTTATTTCCTACATTTACAAATTTTTAGAATTGAATGGTGAAGTCCAATTTCACTCAAAATACAAGCTTCAATCTTAATAGATGAGCGTACCCTGTTTCTTGCATAATTTGTACCATATACAAATTTTATTTGAATGCAAAATGGATACAGCCATCAATTCTGAAACCTTTAAAAGTGTAGGAAATGAGCTTGAAATTCCAAAAAATAAGGATAATTGAGCGTGTAAGAATTAATTCAGGAAACACGTCAAAGGCATTATTCAAGATATAGTTTTCATTTTGATGAAAATTCATTGTTGCCATAATTTTATACATGTTTGAAAGTGTAGGAAACAAATTTAAAATGTCAAAAAATAATGAAAATTAAGCTCCTAAAAATCAATTGAAAAATATGACTAATTACAGTATCCAGAATGAACCGTTGAGTTTTATGGGAATTGAATGTTACCATTAAATTTTACACACTTTTAAATGTAGGAAACAACTTTAAAATTTCAAAAAAGCATAGAAAATAAGGTACACACATGTATGCAAACAATTAAGTGAAAAAGTGATGAATTAATTAAAAAAAACGTGTCAAATGCGGCATTCAAGGTATAGTTTTCATTTTGGGGAAAAACGGTTGTTACCATCATTTTCTAAATGTCTTAAAGTGTGGGAAATAAATTTAAAATGTCAAAAAATGATGAGAATTAAGCTGTAAAAAATTAAGTGAAAAAATGGGTCTAATTTCAGTATTCAAAATGAACCGTTGAGTTTTAAAAAAATTGGATTGCACCATTAAATTCTACACACATTGAAACCTAGGAAATAATTTTAAAATTTCACAAAAGCATAAAAAATAAGGTACATACATGTATGCAAACAATTAATTGAGAAATGAGTGAAAAAAAAAATAATTAATAATCAAAATTCATTTTTATGAAAAATGGTTTTTACCATTAAATTCTACGCCTTTTATATTGTAGGAAACAACTTTAAAAATTCAAAAAAACTCAAAAAATAACCCATAAAAAATTAATTAAAAAACCGCGTCTAAAAGCGGAAACCGCGTGTGCTGCGGCGCATCAAAACCGCGTCAAAACGCGGAAAAACCGCGTTTTTTATCAAGGCCCAAAAAAATAAAATAAAATAACCCCTTCAACTCCCACAAAGAAACAAAAAAATCTCATGCATTGTTCATTTCCAGATAATACCCCAAAGAAAGAAGAGAATGACCATCTAGTTTAACCTTGATTCCATTTTTCAAATCCCAGCACACAAATTAGTGGGTTTCATGATTGAGCTTTTCAATGTTTGTTTTGCTAAAAATATTTCCCTGTTTGTTTAAAGTGTGGATGTTGGATTTTTCTTTTAGCAGCTAGTCACTAGTGTGTTTTGAAGCTTTGCATCAGGCCATGCGGCTGCTGGATTGGGATTAAAAATTTCATAAGAACTTCCAATCATGAACCCCATTATTGCACTTCAACACTCCTTTTCTAAACCTGGTGTACTTAACACTCACCAGGACTTGGCAGAATTCTTGTTTTCAATCTGGTTTAACCTGTATTGCCTTTAAAATTGATCAGGATTCTGGAAATTTTTGCTTTGGTAAACTCACACAAGACAAAATACCACTTTCAAAGAGGGATTATGAGTTTTTTTGAGCTGCACAAAGTTGAACTGTAGCCTTTTTCTAAATAAAATTATTCTTGATTATTCTGGCAAGATTTTTAATGCTTGACATGGTGCAGTACCCCTTACAGGTGAACTGCTATGTCTTTGACTGGTTCTGCAAGAAACACTACAGGCATAGTCAGGTGATGTATCATGGCTGCTATTCTGTTAGAAACCACAACTCATACATGCATTCCCAGTGTAGAAGTCTGTGACAGTACCCTCTCACTAAAGTTTCACATTCCTGTCCTGAGTCCCTTATCTCTATCTCTCTGATGAAATCTCTTGGGTGAAGATTGGTATGAATTGAATAAAAGCTCTTGGTTAAAAAAACCTTGATTCACAATTACGTCTCAGCTAATCACACTCCAATCTTTTTGAAATTTACCTCTTTGTTGCTCTGTGTTTGTTTCTTTATTTCACTCTTCTTCTCTTCTTTCAACCCTTCAATCTCAACTCTCCCTGCCATTCCTGTTCACATATTCAGTTAGACTTACTTTTGAATCTCTGATTCAACAATTCTAACTCAAGCCAATCCCTATTTAATTTTGATTTCTCTTCTCATTGTATGCTTTTATCTATCCAATCTCCTTCCTATCCAGATGCTATTTTCTTCTTCAGCTAATGTGGCTATCTCA